AGAGAAAGAGGCCGTGGAAACCCAGGCAAGGAGGCTTGGCTCAGCCTGGGACCAGGGTAGGCTGGCTGGGAAACGCAACACTCACGCCTAAAAGGAGTTAAGCAGGCTGGGGATGGCTGGCCTCTGGCCAGCTCAGGGCTACGAGGAGAGCGGTGGGTAACTGAGCACAAGGCAGAGCAGGGACGGGCTCTGCAAGACGTGTGCATCTTGCCCGTAAGGTGGGAGCCACAGCCCTTTGCCCCTTGGAATGGCCAGCTATCACCTCTTCCAGGCAGTCTCCTCAGCCCTCCACTGTCGCCTAGGCTGGTGCAGTTCCTCCTGTGTGCCACACTGACCGTCCCTGTGGCCCGAGCCTGCTACGCAGCCCTGCAGCCCAGCCACTTGTGTGCGTGCCCGCTTCCCCTCCACGAGCAAATGAACGAATGAAATGGTGGTCAGTGTGGCAGACAGCGTGAGACCCTGGGGAAGTCTGAATTCAGGCGCGGGTAGTGGCCGGAAAGGACAAGCAGCTCTGTAGGAGCGGAATGCTGACAAGATCCTCTGGTGTCCTCTCGGCCCCCAAAAGTCAGTTAAATGACAACCAAGTTGGTCATGAAACTTTCCCGAACCCCTGCATTTTCTTGCTTGTAAAGAGGGGGTAAAAGACAAACCGACCTTGGATGACCCAGTATTTAGTGCAGGGTAAGGCTGAGGGGGTCCCCCCATGGGGGTCGCGAGCTGGAGCTTCACCCTCTCCCAGCCAGTTCCGCCCAAGCCTGAGCACTGAGTGGGGGGTGTGTGGAAGGAACACAGCCCAAAGGTGGGACAGAGCAGGGTCATGTGGCCTGCCCAGATGGGCCACCATTGTGGCAGGGGACCTGGAGCCCTCGGGTCCCAGGGCGTGGTAGCCATTCACTTAATTCCGATTTAGTCAATGAAGATCCAGAGCTGGGACAGCAGCCGTGAACGCGACACCATCCCTGCCTCCTGAAGCTCAGGGCCCAGCAAGAGAACTGCTGAATATTCTGATGAACAAATAAACACAGAACGCTGCAAACGGTTGCAAAGGTTACAAAGAAAAGGGAGTAGGAGGATGAACAGAAATGTGGGGGGTGGGCAGCTGAGCAGAGACCCGAATGAAGCCTTTTGTCTCTGGGTACAAATCTCTCTCCCAGGAGCCTGTAGGACACCCAGAGAAACGAAGTCCCTGCTGGTCAGGATGCCAGGGACATGCCCTCCTGCACCTAGTGGTAAGGGAGCCTTTCTCTTCTGCCTCCCAGTCCCCAAAGGCTAGAGGCAGTGGGCAGGCCCCCAGCCAGCTGATCTCACACAGCTGCAGGACTTAAGCTCTGGGTCCCACGTCTGGCAGCAATGGGAGTTTTCAGAGTCCAGAACAGGCAGGGGTCGGGGACTCCTGGTGTGGGTGGCCCTGATAGATTGGGGCTGGGGCTGCTTTCTCTTTTTCTTTCCCTCTGCATCGTAGCAGCGAGGGACACCAGTCTGCTGGAGACAATATTGCCCATTCACACACGCAGCTGGGGGACCCTAAAACAGGAAGTCCCTTAAAGTGTCAAAGACATGTGAGTCAAAAGACAGAGAAGCGGATTCTAGAGACTGCTCTTGAGGCAGAAGTCAGGGAAGAGGAAGCAGTGGCATCACGAGACGTTGGCTTTCGCTCCTGCATCGGGTTCAAAGTGAGGGCTTCTGGATCCCAAAGTGCCCCACCACCCTGGTCTCCAGCCCCCTTCATTCTACTAGGAAGCCATTTCACGACCGGGTGTCCCTCCGCCCTGATGCACTGTGATGGTGAGAGTATAGTTTACTCTGCCAGAACGCTACTCTCCCTCCAACCTCCCGCTCTGATGCCGAAAGGCAGCAAAAGAGAAAGCAGCTCCGCCCCAAGCTACCAGGGCCCAGCCACACCGGGGGTCCCAGACCCTTCCTGTCTGGACTCTGAAAACCAGAGACCCAGAGCATAAGTCCTGCAGCCATGTGAGATCAGCTGGCCCGGCGCTGCCATCCCCCAAGTTTCTGCTGAGACCTGGACACTTGTGGCACTGAAAACAGTCAGTGGCTCCTTTCCACCCCCAACCACTGGCTAGACTGGCTGAAACACCCTGGAAATGGTGTAGTTAGGGGCCCGCCTCAGGGTTCAACTCTGCTCCAGACTGGGCTCTGAGGGGCCGGCCACGACCCCAAGTCACCCTGCACAGCTGTCTGCTGTGTCTGGGCGGGAGGGGCCAGCTGAAGAAGGACTCAGAGGCTCTGAGGCCTGGCACACAGGGGGCTTCCAACAGGCGCGCAGGCCTCTGAAGAACGCTGTCACAGGGAGAAGTCACGCCGCTCTCGGGCACAAGTCAGCAGAGGGGCTCAGAGAGCTGAGCGTCACCAGCACTGGGGACAGGGAGCGCCGGTGGAGGGCTGGAGTGGCAGAAGCCGTGTAGGAGAGACAAGGGGTGCAGAGGCCCTGGCGGAAGTTCAGCAAGAGCGGGGAAAGGAGTCTAGGATGGAGGTGCAGTCTTAGTTGGGGCAGTGACAGGGAACTCGGGACACTTCTGGAGTCCGACACGGGACCCTCCCAAGTCTGTGGGACTTTCTTGCTGCATGGCCAGAGTTTGGGAGCAGCGAAGGGATCAGATGGGCCAGTGGGCCCTTTCCTGGACAGGGGAACAGACATCTGCGAGCTGCTGCAGGACCGAGGACCAGAGAAGCGGGAGTCACGCCACACGGGGCCAGGAGAGTAGGGTTAGGATTCCTTCCTCCCAGGTTAGAGACGCAGCACTGGGCCGCTTGCCTCTTCCTCCCTGGACCGAGAGGATGACTTGGAAGGCCGCTCTCGGTGGAGCTGTCTGGGCCCGAGGGGGCTGGAGACTGCCTTCTCGCCCGGGGGTCTGGGCGCAGCTCACCGCCCCGGGGGTTGTGGCCCGGGGGTCGGCGGGTGGGTGGCGCCCGATCCCACCGCCGAGCTGCGCAGCTGGTGGGGTCTTCCCGCACACAGGGTCCGAGGGGCAGACTCCGGGCACCGCCCCTCCGGGGCCGTGGGCGGGGCGTGAGGAGGGGGCGCCCCGTACCCCGCCCCCGCCGAGAAGGGGCGCCACCGGCCCCCCGCCCCGGGACCGCCCCCCGCCCCCCACGGCTCTCGCGGGACTTTCTCGGCACCGCCCTCCGCCGATTAAAGGGGCAACGTCCGCCCCGACGCGCGGGAGCGGCGCACAGGCGCGCTCGGCACCATAGAGACGCGAGCTCGTTTGCCTAGAGTGTCACCTGCTCGCCCAACCCCTCCCCCAAGCGGCGTCTACGTCGCGCCTGGGACTCGCCGCCCGTCTTCCCGTTCCTGGCGCTCAGGCAGGAGAGGAAGCGAAGAGACTAGGAGCTGAGGACAGCACCATGGAAACCCCACGGGACGCTCTAACGCGCTCTGCGTCACGGAGTTGTCTCTGACCGCTTCCGGAAGAACGGCCCGCCGCCATGTTTCTGCGGGGCTTTGAGGTCACTTCCGGGGCCCTGAGCGGGTACTTCCGCTTGGATGGGCATGTGGGAGTGTCTCTTAAAAGGGCGATAGCATACACGCGTCGCTGTGAAAATGACCGCGGTGACTTAAGTCGAGTGTTTCCAGTGTGGCAGGCGTTATAAGCACTATTTAAACGTTAATCCATGTGCCCGCCACGAGCGCGGTTTTCTCCAGGCTCACACGAACGGCTCGTGCCCGCAGACCATGAATGCACGGCCTCCTGCATTCTTCCTGCGAACATGTAATGAACTCTGCATTTGTTTTGCTCTGTGGTGGGCACTGAGGGGGAGGGTAAGCCTAGGTGTTTATTACACAATGCGATGGGAGAAGTCCACGGGCTAGTGGCACCGCAGGCGGGACCCCTACCTCCAACTGGGGAGGGCATGCGAGGAGAGGGTCTTGTCAGCGGGGGGTTCACAGAGACGGTGATCTTTAGCTGAAGGCTGTCGGATTCTCCAGGTAGACCTGGCGCCAAAAGAGATCCAGGGAAAAAGTAAAAGGGTTCAGGGAATTGAAAGTATTTCATTAGGGCTCCAGAGGGTGATTTGGAAAGCTGGCTTGGAGCTAGGTTGGAGCAAGGTCGCCCACGTCCTGTGTTTAGCTTATTTATTTACTTAGTTTTTGCCGTGAGCAAGGCTGGAGGTGTCGTCACAGTTTTACGGGTAATGACAGTCAGGCTTTTGGTTTTGAGGGGTTCAGGTAGTGCTGGCGGCAGCAGTGGGAGACCATACAGGCGGGGGCCACAATGAAACCAGGGCGGGCAGGGCGAACAGATTCCCAAGTCTCGGTGCCTTTCCTCCTGCTGCTCCTCCTAGAAAGACCTGCCCTACCTGCCTTCTCCGCCTGCACCCCGAACCGCTCGGTGACGTCACGTCCAGGGGCAGCCGGGTGCAGGGCTCGCCAGATCCGTTGCACTCCGTCGCCCTCTGGCGGCCCTCCGGGGAACAGGCCTGCGGTGCCCTCTCCCGCAGCTCTGTGCCAAGGAGAGTTAAAGCGCGACTGTGTCCAGGGAATCGGGCGAATCCGGTTCTGCTGGGTCGTCGCCTTGGCGAGTTACCTCGAATCACCTTGCAAACCGCAGTGACTTCATCTGGGAGATGAGGGGGTTGTACCGGATCAGTTTTCCCCCTAAACTCAACCGTTTAGCAAATTGGGACGCTTTTTCTCATTTCTCTGCTGCAGGCCATTAAAATTATACAGAAAAGTGATATGTATGTTTACTAATTACTCAATAAAAACTGTAACAAAAGATGTACTTAGAGCTCTTTTTGTTTGCTTCTTTTTTTCCTGAAATGACTTATTACTGAAATTAGACGTGCACCGCATGCACTGCATTGGTTTAGGGGCATATCCTGGCTGTCAGGAGTCACTTTTAAAAGACCTGGTTGCAAATTCTGGCTTCTCTGCTTTCTAAACTGCATGACCTTGAGCAAATCACTTAACCTCTCCAGATCACAGGCTTCTCGTTTGAATCACAGTTGTAAGAATTCAGTGAAAGGCTGTCTGGAAAGCAAATCCCTCAACATGCCTTGCCCACCTTCTCTGCTGAACTTTTCTTTTGCTTTTATTGCCAGCGTGTATTTTCTTTCTTTATCTTGTTTTTTTCTCTCTCCCCCCCACCAGAATGAAAGCTCCATGAAGGCAAGAATTTCCTCTGTTGGGTTCACTGATGTATTTTCAAGCTCCCAAACAGTAACACACAGTAGGTGTTCAACAAGGAGACACTGTGGGGCCAGCAGGTGGCATAATGGTTACGTTGGTTGGAGTCCTGGACCTGGTTGCTTGAAAATCATGCCAGGGGCCCCACAGGTGGCGTGATTTAGGGCGCTGGACTCTCACATGGCCAACTGCGATTTGAGTTCTGGACCTGATGACTTGCTTTCTCACTTTCCCTCTCACTGTCTCTGTCTCTCTCTTTTCTCCAGCGAGCACACGTGCTCTAAGTCATAAGCCTCTAAACATAAATAAATAGATGCTGAATGAATGAATGAAGGTGCCTGATGCTGCACAGTGACTTGGGGGTGGAGGGAGGTGACCAGGCCATGCTCTAAACAGAGGCTCTGGCTGTCCCTCATGAGTCCCTGGGCAGGGCCTTGGTGAGGAGGACTGGGCTGGGACTATGCGGGCTGAGCCTGGCCCGGACTAGGTAGGAATCGGGGTAGGAGGCGTGAATGGTGAGCAAAGTGAGAACAGGGAAAGGAAGGAGGACACCCATACCAAAACAGGAAGCTCTGAGTGAGACTTGGGGAACCCCTGGGAAGGGCAGGGAGCGTCTAGCTGTCCTTAAAGCAGCCTCATCAGCTGATGCATGCTGACCTCCGAGGAATGAAAATAGTTCCTGGGAAAACTCCTCCAGCACTGGGAGTGCATGCAGAGGGGGCAGGGGAGGAGAAAGGAGCAGGTGGGGAGGCGGACACCTGGGCTACCTGGAAGGCAGATACATGGGACGGCCTGTAGTCCTTTCTTGGGGGGATTTCAGAAGGTCCAGGGA